GCCTGCACTCCATAATGATGACTTACGGCACAGGAAGGTGATGCCATTATCCCTAACTCATGTACATGTACAAGCCCTAAGGCACTGTAGACACATCCAAGACATCATAAGGGCAACGCTTTCATGTGATAGGTAGTTTAAAGGGAAGATACAACATTTGCAAACATCAAAAAACAAAATGATAAAATTATCACGAAATATGTTACTGGATTGTTGGGGAATGATAGTCTAAAGTATCCTGTAAAATCGTGGCTCCTGGTGTGCTGACATTTTCAAGAAAACTTGTATTTTTCCAACGCTGGTCAGCCGACCAGCATTGGAGAAAACTGGCTTTTTTTTTTAAATGCTCCCAATTTTTCACATCTAGATATTCCTCATTTTCTTTACAATTGATTACACACGTGAAGGGGTACAAGCCTGCTAGACTGATTCCCTGACCTTACAATTCCCCGAAGTCTATACATTGCTCCGTTTCATCTTAAGTGGGGTCAGGCAACCAGACTACAAGAACATGGTTGGTTTTCTTCAATTTCCCAGCATCTCCGAACCCAAAACGTGAAGCAAGTCAGTTTAACAATATTTGCTATAACATTCTAATCCTCCAAATCCATTTTTTTCTGAAAATTGCAGCAAAAGCAAATGATGTACATTCCCTTTAAACAAAAGAGCACGGAACCCATTTGTTTTTCTACAAAGCACAGTGTATTGAGGCATATTGTGGCATGGTCATGGTGGCCTAATGGTATCCGCGTATCAATGCACCTTCACTGTTTCTGTACACAAAAAAAAAGACAACTCCCTTCAAGTTGGCGGCTATAGGCTTTATTCACAAGTCGGCCATATTAGTTAAATTGAACGTGAGAAACTCTTTGTTTTGGAACTTGCGAGTAGATACAAAAGCGCTAAATTAAAGTTCATTACCAAGTAATCCCAGCCTGCTCTAATGAATAATTAAAAAGTTGTGATTAATTAAACATATTCTACTGTTTAATCCACATCAAAAAAAAAAAATTAAAGTGAGGCTTGGAACGCACTCCCATCATAAAATAGTCTGGCACCATCCTAATCAACTGTTCACAATTTTTTCTATTCAGAGAACACAATCAAAAATGGCTTCAAGTTCCTCGTCAAAAAGTGCTTTACATGCAGATGAATTAGCGCACCCTAGGCCAAAAAAAAAAAATAATAGACTTCTGCTTCCGATTACAGACATTTGAAAACAGGGTACATGTAGGTACAAAAATAGGTAGGAAATTTTTTTTGGGGGGGGGGGTTGGCAAATTTGTTTGGGTACGATCATATGGAGGTGTCTGTGTGTAGTCAAGGGTAAGGTACCGGTAGTAATTGATGATTTTCAGGGTTTTTCCTCATTTTTCCCCAAAAGAAATTAGGGTAGGAGACGTCAAAATAGGGTACATGTAGGAAAGGTAACCAGAAGCTGAACTATTATTTGTTTTATTATCTGTGTATTTATGGACGCCCCTTCACTGGTAAAAGCGAAATGCAAGCGTCCCACAATGTACATGTATTATCTTAAAAATAGCTGGCGCACTGCTTTTGCCATTGAAGGGGGCCTACCAGTAGTGTGTTTACTGAGATGGCATGCTCAGACTGGTCTATATAATACAACAGTGTGCATCCACTGTTTTTGAATTAAAACAACAAAGAATACCCTTCAAGATGTCTGACAATACAAAGACAATCATGAATAAGGTTTCTACCCGTACCGGGTATATATGCTAAACACACAAAATCAGTGTCAAAAACTGAGTTAAAAGTTGTGCGTGTTACATTGTACGCGTACATGATTTTTACATGGGATATTCAATGGGAAGTCCCATGTTTTCCGAATGTCCTTCCGCTAAACCCAAAATAAAATAGCATACATAATTGTGGCAATGGCAGAACGTGCACACTGAAGTTACGCACTGAGGAAACACAACAATTGCGAACAATGGCACAAGCTGAACAGCAGATGCGCATGTACCGGTACACATACATGTCTACATATTCCCGAATTTCATTGTGTGTGGGATTGAGAACTGTGGGGAAATTCATTGTTCAATGGTCACGCATGAGCAATCAACAAACCAAACAAATCCTTGTGGTCACTAGTGCAAGCAGGCCTGGCCATATGGTGTGTGTCTGTGGTTTGCAAGGTTCTACAACTCTTTGTTTGGGAGATGTACAAAGGATGCTTCTATTTTGTGAGTCACATGTTCACAGACCAGTACAAACCAGTTGTAAATTGTATTGTACCTCATGATGTTGTTAAAATTCGGTAAATACTGAAAACAAAGATAGTATGGAATATCCATATTGCAGTTACATGTACATGTGTATTCCCTTTTAAATGTGGCCAGATGCGTACATGAGTCATTTAAAAGGGGGGGGGGGATAGAAACAACTTAGCTAGATCAGCACTACATGTACATGGATTTATAATTGTTTAAATTCTTTGTAGTCACTGATCAAAAGATGAAAAGTGTGAAGCTGGAAACGGATACACTCCTGCAATTTTTAAGTAAACTGAATTCTACTCTTGAAATAACAATTGCCCGCCATCAATTCAATGCTGTTAATAGCACTGTACATGCTGTACAGTCGACTCATTAATACAAACTCAGCCACACAAGTTATTTTTTTTCCACTATTATAACTAGGTTCTTTAAGTGAATTTTTTTTGGCTCTTACTGAACCAAGATTTACTTTCAAGGTTTCAGGCTGGCTTTCAGAAATCAAAAACTTTTTGAATTTTTGAAATCGGATGACGTGGAGATGTTTTTACTTTTTTGAAGACAATACTGGTGCCATTTTATGAATTTTCAGTAAGTAATTTTATCATTTTCTTTATTTAGCCGTGGCACATTGTCCATGTTAAACTGACCAATAAGCAAACGCCACAGGACGTCATGCATCCCTGACACGCACTTGATCCACTCTTGCGTTACACTTCATTGACACTGGATCGGGACTAATTCTACCCATTCAACAGCACAATATACAAGAGTACGTCAATAAGTACCAGATATGCCGGGTCCTACTAACCCTAACCCTGCTAAATGCCACAGAATGCACCAGTGGTAGAAAGTTGTTGCAAGTTGTTGCATTTAGCAGAGTCCTGATCTGATGCATTCCATGCCTGCATTCCGTTGCATTTGGCAGGGTAGGTACTTGGTACATGTACCAAGGCTGGCACTGCATTCTGTTGCATTTAGCAGGGTGCCTAGAGAATACCCCGTGGGGGTTGCACAGAATGCACCAGTGGTAAAAAGTTGTTGCAAATTGTTGCATTTGGCAGTGTCCTGATCTGATGCATTCCACCCATGCATTCCGTTGCATTTGGCAGGGTAGGTACTTGGTACATGTACCAAGGCTGGCACTGCATTCTGTTGCATTTGGCAGGGTGCCTAGAGAATACCCTGTGGGGGTTGGGGTTAGCTAAAATGTGTCAACAAGCATCAACGGTCGTCAACAAGCATCAACAAATTTTGTACATGCTTTTGAACATTAAAAGTAGCTTTATATTATTATTTTTTATTATCCACATCCAACAGCAGAAAAAAAACGCCAATTACAGATATGGTAGAAAAAGCAATAAAGAACATCTTCTGCATATCAATTAAAGTTAAATTATTTTAAAAACTTCTTTTTTGAACGTGAAATGTACGACGAGTTTGTCGATTAGTGTTAGCCGCCAACTTGTTTGGATGGCGCTGTACACTTCACGCATGCGCAGTATGGCTCTGTACACTTCACGCATGCGTAGTTCGGCTAGCTTCAGGTAAACAAAATGGCGGCCAACACAAACTCGACAGAGTCGGTGTACGTTTCACACTGAAAAAAAAAACAACTTCTGAAATAGTTTTTACTTTTAATTTATATTCTGAAGGTGTTTTTTGTTGCCATTTCTACTATATAAAGCTGTTTTTGATTTCCCAAAACTTCTACAAAATTTGTTGACGCTGGGTTGACAACCGTTGACGCAGATTGACGCATTTTAGGACTGGATATGCCAGATGGAGTTAAGGGGCAAACTGTACAACAGTTTTGACTCCTGCCTGCAAATCAAACATGCTTGCCCCTGCCTTGGATTCATGCGGTAGCCCCATATCTAGGGGTAGATGCTGGCGCCTGCTGAAAAAAAATCCTCCTTTAAAACAATAAAAGAAGACAATTCATATTTTTTTGGGACACAAAAAAGAAACTTTCAAAAACATCGGTCAAACTGGGACTCGAAGACTTTGAGCGGTGTTGCTTGCAAGGCAGACTAGATGCGCTATCCAGCAGCACTAGTCTGCCACGTGTTTGGCTCGACAAGAAATGGTTATTTAATATGGTGTAGGCCTATTCAATATAACCGCATAGGCCCTAACTAGCTGTTTAACAGATACCGCCATCTTAAAATTTTAGCTACAGTTGCATGATGGGACGTATTTTCATTGTGGTGCCTCCTAAAATTTCAAAGATGGCGGTATCTGCAAAACGGATTATGAATATGAGGATGCTATACGATCTGCCCAATTATATATTGAGAATGGAAAACGAAGTGGCTATCATTACGGCAGTCGTTGTTTAGCGCCCTCTACGATACTTTTTTGATACGCACGCAGGTATATAATTATTTGTTTCCACACGTTTTAGCGAGCAGTGCGACAGCTCAGGCGATAAAGGGTAGGATTTTGCACCGCGAGGTTGCGGGTTCGAATCTCAGTTTTGCACTCGAATTTTTTTCCTTTTCTAACCCGAGGCTTTGGAGGATTTTTTTTAAAAGGGAAATAAAGTCCGAATTTCATAACGTCCAAATTCACTTTTTTCCTTCTAATTTTATATTTTCTTGTCATGTTTTTATAAAAGTTGCAGTCTACCGTAACGATAGAAAATGGGAAATGCGTTACGGCTGCCGTAACAATAGCCACTGCGAATGGAAAAAAAGGAGGACCAGTTCAATTTCAAGGCTAAATAAACACTTTGTTCTGTTAAAACAAAAATTAACTCACCAATCATAGGACTCCGATGCCATCTTGGCAATGGTATCAGCCTTTTCCCTCACAAAAACTGTATTCCTTATTCACAGAAAACTCTCAAAATGGTGATCATAACACCGTCCAGCTGCAAGTCAAGTTTATGTACACAAACATACCCGACCATACGCGCAATCGGGACCGCAAAATGAAAGCGCACCCCGGGAAAATCGCTCCACAAAAATCACCTCAAATTCCACAATTCATGATGAAATGATCCTGTTTATACGTGCCAAACAGTCCCCTGAACCCCAATGGGCAGCCGTCGGATGAATTCTCAACAACATCGAAGAGTCTTTGTGCCTAAAATTAAGGTAAAAGGTGTTGTTTTTATTAACTTAAATCTCCAAACATTGTCGATCGTGCAATGGAAGTTTAGTTGACCTTGCACAGTGCATAATTACGTACTGGTCCCTCGTCGAAGTCCCATGTCTTTTTGCGATAAGGGGAGGGAACCAGTGATTCGTGTGTTATTATTTTTATGCTGGTACTCGGCCATTCTTCGTTTCCGCCGACGAGACCTTTGTCGAGAGCCAGTCAATTAAAGGGCATAAATATCAAGAGAGGGCTCACTACACAATTTGATCTTCATCATTTTTGCACACCTTGAAAATGCTGGCTGATGGGAACGCAAATTCAATCGCTTCCATAAGATCGCTTTCAGTTGTTAATATTGTGGCACTGACAAACACAAAAATCGACCCTTGAAATGCTTAAACCTGAAACTGTTCACCCCTCCAAGTGATTTTCTAGTACATTTTTAGTTCGATTTGATTGCAAATGACATGAGGTGCCAAAGTGCGATAGGCTAAATTCTGTCCATTTAGGCACTTTTGGTAATTAACATCCACAGATTTCCAAAGACCTAGTTGTCTCAACTAAGAAAACATGCTTAACAAGGGGGCTGTATCATAAGTCCAACGCCTCATAGGTCCGACGCCTCATAAGTCCGACAATGGATAAACGCTTTTTCAGACTTATGCGGCGTCGGACCTAGTACGAGGCGGAATAAATAAATTTTATGCCATAAGTCCGACGCCTCATACCGAGTCCGAAATTTCGGACTTATGAGGCGTCGGACCTATAGGAGGCGTCGGACTTATGAGTGGACCCCTTAACAAGAACAGCCACTGAAGTAAATGCTCCGAAATTCTAAATCATATATGGCAGGAATTAGATCGAGCCTGATATTGAACATTTCAGAATTGGAAATGTTTTCCATGATTAAAACTGGAATTTGTGGCTGAATGAATTCACTAAATGGGAAATTAGAAGCAAAGTAAGTTCCCCAACGAGGGAGATCGGAGGTAAATGGTATCTAATTGCATTGCACTCTATAATCAATATCTACCCGAAATCTAGTTCCTGCGGAAAACACACCCAGGTCGTTTTGAGCTTTAGATTCAAATTTTCGGTCAAAGTAGGCCGTACTTTGACCGATTGCAATTGCAGCGCAGCCAACCTCTTGACTACATGTATTATACTAGTCAAGTCAAGTATGTTTGCCTTGTCATCAACTAAGCCCCAGGAACCCGAAAGTACAATCGGCGTTTCGTTCGAACTAAATGTAACTTTATTTTATTATTTTTTTGGAAGCTCGATGACTCATCACGCGAACGGCATGCCGTTCAACCGCGTTTATATCTGTGAGTACAACCATTTAGACATAAAGAACCTATGAGTACAACAGATTGTCAAACCGATTGCAATGCTGCCCTCTATGATTCATTCGGTCCAACCCATGCAGTGTCAACGCTGCTGCGCTGGTGAATTGAAACGAAACATCATGATTGCCGAGTGGCGAATCCACGATTTTTCAAATGGTCGTCGCCGAGATGTTGAGCTAAAAAAAATCTATTGTGTCGTGAACTGAGATTGCAATTTTTCTACGTAATACGTGTGGTTAATCACCCCCAACAACTCCCTCAAACTGGCTATTGGTGGCGCTACTTTCACTTGGGGGGCGTGGTGTCCATTCTGCGATCGATACTGAATTTTTAAAAACTGCAATTTTTACCGCAGTTTTCAAAATTCTCTTTCGATTTGGACAGAAAGTTTTAGTCGATGTTTCGTTTTCTTCTAGAGTAAGATATTGTCCTCAACCTGTTGCAGCTAGCAGGCCCATTTTTGTTTACTGGATTTAAGTTGCATGCCGTGAACATGAGCTGAGCGTCGGGGGGGGGGGGGGGGTTCCCCCCTCGAAAAATCCTTGCGATGGTCATGCTATAGCAATGATTAGGAATGTCGTTTCCAATTCAATGGGAGACTTTTGAGACGTCGGTGGCAGCAAACATGTTTAAGCCAAAGCGCGCATGCTCAATATGACGCAAACAATGGAAAAAGGACCGGTATGTTTGCTGCCACCAATGTCTCAAAACTCTCCCATTAAAAACAAAGGCTGGTCACTCTTTTGCAAAGATGACCACTGAACATTAACGGAAAGGAATGCAGTTTTTTCCCCTTTTCATTATGGGTGCAGGCCGGAAAATAGGCCCGATTTTTTTTTTTTGGGCCTTGAGCTAGAGGATTTGTAAACGAGAAGGGTGGAAGCCATGAATAGGATTGCAAACTCCTATTTCTGAAAAATTCGGATGAAACTGGGCCCTAAAATTGGTCTATTTTGCAGTGGAGCGTATAGGCATCCTTTATTTTTGTTAAAGTGGCGATGGGCTTCAGCTAGGACTGCTAGGGTGATCATCCATGGATGGAATTTTCTCTCAAAAATCATTTTTGCCAACCACGGCCTGCAAAACTAGAACTATGGAAGGTCCGACACTGCAAAAATGAAAAAGAGTTATTACAGATCACCAAAATATTATTTGATTCTTGAAAATACAACATTTTCAACAAAGCTACAAAATAATTCCTACATATGCTTTGTTACTATGTGTTGATGGCGTTAGGAGGACTTTTTTGGAAAAATATGTTGCCATCCACGGCTTCAATTTATGCGGTTACGGCAGCCCATACAAAATGGCGCCAATGTTTACAATCAAAAGAAAGGCCTATAATCGTCGAATTTGAACAGCGCCCCCTATTGCAATAGGGTACTATTCCGGTTTTCAGCAGCATGAAACGACTGAGAATTCTTTCTATTCCCCCTGGATGGGATGCCAGTCCATCGCAGGTTACTCCCCAGCTAATGCCGGTACCCATACTCCTGGGTGGAGAGGGGCAAGTGGGGGTGAAGTGCCTTGCCCAAGGACACAATATATGACCAGCGGCTGGATTCGAACCCCTGACCCTGTGATCATGAGTCACGAACCCTAACCACTAGGCCACACACTCCCCTGAATCTAGCTTGAATTAATTGGTAATAAAATCCAATTTCGTTTCCGAAATACTCATGCCACGAGAAAAAATGTCTCGACCATGATTGTCCATGATTGAAACCCATTTTTTCGTCACGAATCATCAATGTAATGTCTACCTGACGCACTTTCAAGCACGCTCCAATTCCGACAGTACAAAACCAATTTTTTGGAACCCCCCAAAAATCCATCCATCCAAAAACGAAGGTGCACAGTCCACCACATCTTCTTTTATTATCAAATCAATTTTAAATTAAAATCTAATATACAAAACATTCTCAAATTAGACACGTTTTCATAATCACGTCCTCCTTTCCCATATTTTTTTTTACATGCAGCTGCTTCTACACGCGACCGAAGATGCATTGTTCGCTTTCATGTTTACGTTGTCAGGAAGTCTCTAATAATAAATTTAGCAAAAACTTGGGCGAGCTAAAAACAATAGGCTGGGACACCTTGCCTCGAACAGTCGAACTTTCAATTTTAAACAAAAAAATCCTTTTGTAGAACCATGACATACCGGTAGCAGTACCCTTAATTGCGTCGTTAATCCATGTAAATCAACGTTAGTTTTGAATAAAGGGGAACAAATGTTTCTGCAGAAAATGTTTAGCCGGACGTGTTTGCCTTCATAACAAAAAGTCGATAAATAGCTGGTTATTTTTGTTGGGATGAAATTTCCAAGAACATCCAGGTTTTTAATCAGCTCCAGCTTCGTGTTATATTAAATATGTCTTTAAAAATCCAGGTTTTTAATCAGCTCCAGCTTCGTGTTATATTAAATATGTCTTTAAAAATCTCCATCTTTTTTTATGGCCCACGCGTGAGTACGAAAACAAAAAGTCACTCGGAAATTATCCAAATCTTTTGTTTATTGCTTTTCCGCTTAAAAGCGGACTTGCTTTCAACGATGAACTTGCTTTCATTATTATTATTATTATTATTATTATTATTATTTATTCGACCAAAACAATACACAATGAACAAACACGGTATGAAAAACAAAAACTAAACAAAAATGTATGAAAGCTACGAAATACAAAATAAAACAAACTAAACACAAAAGACGACACTGTATAAGTGTAAGTGTATGTGTAGGGGCCACAAAAACAACGCATAATATGAAATGAAATGAAAATATTTCAACGATGTTAGTCTGCAGCAAGGGTGGGCTTTTCAAATATCTTACCAGTGACGTCATGTATTATTCGAGCCCCACTTGGCGGCAGGTTAAAAAATGTCAAAATGAATTTTCAATTGATTATTGTGACAACGTTTGAGGTAATCGCTTCAAAATTAATATATATGGTGACCTTTATGCAGACAACACATGTGCGCGAAATCTGCTCACTTTAACGCTGTTTGCCCTTTTGGACACCGACAAAATTTGTTCGTGTTATGAACTTTACTCCTTAAAAATGAGATTTCTCCCATACACAAGGGCTGGTTGGATCGTCATAAAACTTAGTGGAAAGTAAGATAATGTTATTAGTATGCCAAATCCGAAGTGACGTCATAATTACGTAATCGGTGATTTCTTTATGACTTTTTTTTAACGATCAAATACATTTTTTATATATTAAAAAAAAAAAAATGCGGAAAATCCTATGTTCTGTTCATCGAACGGACACAGTTCTAGTTATTTTCCTTTCCGTCATTTTCCAAACCTTTTCCCCCCTTTCGCCTCATTATTTTGAGGATCATTTAACCAGATTTCTAAGAGAAAGACAAATTTGGGGAAAACATTTAAATTCCGAGTCGAATAATTGTGTACTATTCGGCTTGAGCGCAAATTGTTTGTTCGGGTTTTTTTTCACAGAATGTGCATTTTTCTTTTCAATTTCTGACATTCCTATCCTCGCTATACGGACAAGACCTTAAAGTTAATATCAAATTTCGGTCGCACCATTTCGCTGCTTCAGGGGTGTCATAATTCTTGATCATTAACTCCACAATCACCGCCAAGTTTTAGCAAAACATTAAACAAAGTAATTACTCTCGAATCCTCTTAAATGGTTAATGTGAGCTGGACCAGCCGAACCCATCATAACTGATTAACACCGTTATCTCATCGTTATCAGTCCCATGCAAATGAATCATGAATTATGCAACAGATAGGTGTGTCTTTAGCGGGGTTCAGGGGTTGGACTTTCAGCGATGACCCCTTCGAATTTGCAGCAGGGTACAAAAAAATATAAAGCAAACATCGAGAAAATGTATGTACATATATGCACGGGTTGTGTGCATAAAGTACAGGGCCGTATTTATCCGGTGGATCGGGACTGTGAACAGGTGTAAACGACCCGTCACTCGGCGGGACACTACAAAGAGATTCACCGCGAAGAAACTCGTCAAACCACGCTTGTTTCTCCGACACCATGTATAGGCGCAATATCACAATGTTTTCAATTAGAAAATTTAAAGACTAATAAAAAAAGAGAGATTTTTTTGTGTTCCGGAGTCGTCAAAATGTCCAGTGTTACGGAGCTTCAGCGACAGCTCATTTTAGCCCTGGTTCACTCGGGGCTTGATAAAACGGACCTGATACGCGAGGTCGCGATGGCCTACCCCGCCACCACCACGGACCGCAACGGTGAATCGCGTCAAAACCACGGCACCGGTGTCGGCGAGAACGCGGTGAGCGCTCACGCCTCACCCGTGATTCGGAACGCCGCGGCGGTCGTGGACGTACGGGAGCGGGACGGGGACGGGGAAGTCGACGGGGAGAGACGGGCAGGCAGCGGGGATGAAATGAGCGACGACGAGGAGCATCGGCAAGAAGAGAACGGAGGCCTGATGAGCGGTGATGACTATGAAGGGAGTGAGCACACTTACGACCAGTCCGTGGACCCCTCAAGACCCATGTCACTCAAGGAAGAATTACTAAGGTAACCCGTCATCCACAAAAAGTAATAATAGACGAAATCTACAAGAAAATGATACACAAATTCAAAACACAAACATTTGCAATGCCAGTTTGCATTCTAGATCCTTGTACACATTTTTGGTTCGTAATATAAGCATGCAATTTCTTGAATCGTAAAAAATAATTTAAGGAAAAAATCAGATTTGCGAATCTGCATTGCCATGAATCTTTATATTATATGGTGCTAACACTATGTGACATTGATTGAAATAAAAGCTTAACTCAACCTCAGTGAACATTAATTTTTTGTGCCTATTTAGAACCCCAGTAGCTCAATTTCAATGACCATTTTGTACCTACATCAGTTTTGTTTTAATGAAATATTGCAACAAATATATAGGTAACAAAAAGCATTTTTCTCAAAATAAGTGAACATTTGGCAAATATTATTATGCTCAGGTAATTAATGATTGAAATATCATGTGAATATCAATATTAAATATTGACAAGTACCGAGAATTGTTGGTCACATTCTTGACCTTCGGGCGTGTTTATTATACACCGTTACAAAATTTCGTTTAATATTAAACGGAAAGAATTGTTCAAATGGTTTTCTGATGTCTGAATGTCTATAGTAAATTGAACTGGTTTGAAATTGATCAACATAAATCGCAAACATCTTGAACAGAAACAAACCTATAACCTTTCCTAAATCCACCAGGTATTTTATAAGTCATACAATCATGATGTACAAACAAAATATCCGCATGAATGCTTTGCATAAAAAGGCAGGCGAGCACGAAAGGTATACGTCTAGCACCAAGTCATCCCAATGTAACGGCACGATTTATTTTCCGTCAGACAACTCATGTTCAAATTTACTTAAGTTACAAATCTTGTTCAATCTTCCGATTGTCACTCTTTGTAAAAGTGAAAGAAGACTTCAGTTTTTAAAGTAAATGTTTTTTAAAAGTAAATGTTTTGAAAAAGTTACATTATACCTTCGCAAAATCTTATAATAAATGTCGAAAAATTTGAAAATTTTGAAAAACATGTAGCAGGGTTGCTCGAGACTTTTATATTTCCGCAAAGAGCTTAACATTTACATGCTCTTTGTACCGTCCATGTTTATTTGTCATTTTGACATATCTAAAAGTTTGTGTGGTTGTGGTAAACTGTTCTGTATGTGAACTTTTCAAATTCAATCAGCAAAAATATTTGCTTTCCACTTCAGGACGGAAAACGAATCAACCTTGAAAAGCAAATCAAACTTGCCCAAGGCATGCTGGCGGGTAAAAATAAAGTTTAATACACTTTTTGGGGGATAGACAAGTAACGAAATCCCTCCGTCTGTAAAATTGTCTGACGGATTTTCAAATTTCCAGATCTTCACCTTGAAATTAAACTGATACCCTAAAATTAAATTATGAAATAATAATAATTTTAATCAATTAAACGAAACTGACGTTGTTGCCAAATTTGTATTCAAATTTTTCAAAACCCTACAACAAAAGTTTTTCGTAAATTGACGCAATGTAGCCTTCTTCCAAAATATTTGGAAACAAAATTGTACTAAAATCGAAGATACTAAACGAATACTTTGAACATTTTTGTTAAAGAAAATATGATACTGGAAGAAAGTACTAAATTTGTGACTTGCGGTTTACTTTTTTTCGTAGAAATTTCTAAAAAACACATTATTTCTGCGAAGAAAATAATCTTTAAAAATACATGACAATTAAAATCCCGGTAAAATGGGAATTGCCTATTCGCTTAAAAAATCTTTAGCCAAATCAAAACGATCGCTTCTTTTTTTAAACACGAACTGCGGCTACAGAAGCAATGGACAAAACAAAGGCTTGATCAAAGGTTTAAGAAAATCGAAAAAGGAAGCGAAGTTCGAAATTATTTTTTTTATTCGCAACGACCGGAAGGAATGGAAGTCGTGTTTAACAAAGGACTGCACACAAATTCATCTAGTTTCGTTTTTACTTCCTAATTCGTGCACCAAAATTTCCATATGATCATACTTGCCACTTTCACGACAAAGTTTCCAACTAACGAAAATGCTGAATTCCACCCTACCCGCCAAAAACTTTGAAACCCACACTTTGTCCAAGTGGTCCAAATGTATTGATTTCCCGGTCGTTTCTGATTGGCAAAAAGTTTACGGGACCCAGGGGGATATAAAAATAAAACCACTCTGGTTATATCATAACTAGGCTTATGACGGCTAGGAATAAATGATCAACTCGGTGTTATGGCTTAATTGCAGACAGGGCCTGAGAACCCGGGTAGATCATTTGCTAAAGTTTATAACTTTATCTTTAGGGGCATGGTTTGGGAAGCCCTATCTACTCTCTGTTCGGAGATCAAGGTATAAATACTAGCATGCTAAACCCTCCATCCACCACAACATTGTACCATGGCACACCGAGTGCGAGCGGTGCTGTTCGGCGTGCCGTGCGGGAATAGTACAGCCGAACTCCCCGGGATGATATGCGCCGTCTCGCGGTAGCTGCACCACGCATCGCGGAGCCAGCCCCGGAATATTCATCCAGTCAGGCCGGCCATTTTTTTTTCTCGTGTGCCACGATGTTTTCTATAATACCATCAGAAATTAGATCTGTCTTTGTATTTCTATATGTGTGTGTGTCTCTCACTCATCATTACCATGGAGTTGGATAATATGGAAGGATGGACTTTGTCCCCTAAAAAGGCCATTTTGGGGGATAGCGCGGGCCCCGGCAGCGTGTTTGGATCAGGTTGGTTGTGTAAACTGGACCGGCCCACTCGGCTGAAAGGTAAGACCATCGTACCGCAACGCCACCGCCGCCGCAACGCGCGGGGGCCGGTTTGGCGCGAAACTGCGGGAAGACAGGGAATTGACTCGAGGGAAAATTAACGAATTTTCCCCGTTGCTGCGCGGAATCCGTCGACATTTGCTTCCAGGAAGATGGAGCGGTTCCCGTTCGATTCAGAAAAAGTGCGAGTTTGGTTCAAACAGCTCGCTTTAATACCGAGAATTTATGATGGATTTGGCACCAAGAGATGTGAATTAAAAATAATGAAGCGATAGAAATGAGGAAGAAAATTGTCCGAGTATTGCATGCTGACAGCAAACTCAGTGATATAAAATAATTAAAATCTGTGTGTCATTGTATCAACAGAAAAATCTGTATAAAATTTACTTTGTAAATCTAAGAAACTTCATCGCATCGAACTCACAACTGTAGGCCTACTAAGTCTTGGTATTGTGTACAAATTCTACGGACACAACTGAAAGCCGCATTTCGTTTAAAAATTCAGTGGCTGTGTTACAGCGACTGGAAATGCAATTCTCTTTACCGTTCACACAGAAGGGTCCACACGTTAATTACACTAATAAGTAGCGTTTAATTTGTTTTCATTTGAATCATAACGGAAACAGTATTCGTGTGTAAACTGTAAATCGCCATAGTAGGCTACACTGCAAAAACTGCAGTGTTAAATTTACACCATTGGTATCTTTATAGGACCATCTGGTGTTAAATTTTACTGGTGTTGTCCTATATGGATACCGAACGGTGTTAAATTAACACTACAGTTTTTGCAGTGTATATTTCTCAATATCGTTCGGGGAAATTCCAGAATCTTACCACATACATTTCAGTATTACAAGAAACAAAAGCGATAGACGATCGATCGCGTATAAATAACATTGCAAATTTTAGAGAGCCTTAAAAGTAACAAAGAGAACTGATTACAAACAGTTCGAAGAAGAATTCAACATAAACTATCGGGTAACGATTGATGGAAAACACTTGTTCTAAATCGTTCGTTATTGTAACGATCGTTTTATTCAATGAACAGCAGTGAATTTCTATGGGAAATACAACTGCAATATCTTTACGCATACGTCATCAAATGACGTCATATGCAGGGAAGCAAAATTACAAGCTTACGATCTTACTTGTTTTGCCTTTATTTTAATAACCGCACAATAGCAGTTTGTACAAACGTAATAGGAGCTGCGATAACTGTAAGGTTCCAAACACATCTTCGTTTGAAAGGGTTTTAATATAAACTCAAAATAGAATCTTTGCAAAACAACATCTGTTTCCAATGCAAACAAGGTAACAACTGCAATCAATTTCCCGCAAGACAGGAGGCTGATATTTACCATGGCAACTCCTTTTCCCTTCTTATTGTTAGTTAAATTGCATTCGGAATTTTAAATTTCACAAAAATACTGTTCCAAAAATCAATGCAGCATTATCTCTTTTCACATATCAAAATTGAAATAAAACACTTTAGCACGCGTACATTTATTCAAATCCATACTTCTATCTCAGCTCTATTGACGTTTGAATATAAATAAATAACAGCAGGAGTGGCGCCATTATACCATTTTCAATAATTGACTTGTATTTTATAAATCAAACACAGTTATTGATTAATTAATTATTGGGATGATTAACACGAGACAGTGCCACTGTGTAAATTAGATGTTGAACTTCATACCCGGCCCTCACCGTATTAACGTTTAAAGTTTTTTCCGTCTTTTTTTTTTTACCCAATTAAAAAAAAAACCTTCAAACTCTAAAGCAAGGTGTCAGAACATGCAGGAATGATAAAGCTGCTACAAAATGCCTATACCAACTGAAAAGCCCCCAAATATAGAGGGTGGCCAAAAAAATGCAACCCTGAAACATTTGCCTTTTTTTCCAAAAACGTGATCGGTGAAATTTTGTTTTGGATATCAGATTGAAGCTGAAAGCTTTTTCTTTCAAACACTGAAAAAAAATCATGAAACAGCACATAGGGTTGCTGAAAAAATGCCAAAAATGTAAAAGAAGTAATTTGTCATCCTTTCCAAATGTGTTTCAAAAAGTGAAACATGTTACTGTAAGCCCACTGCGCAATTGTCTTTTTGTGCAATATCTTTAATATTTTGACATATTTATGCATGATGCTGAAAAGGTTAAAAAAAAAAATAGAACTAAAAGGAAAAGATTCAGGTGGAAAATAAAAGGTATTTCC